GGGTAGTGATGACCCTAAGACGTGGCCAGTCAGAAGTTTAAACCCAACGAGTTTTTCGCTGGTAAACACTCTTCTGATAGCTTGCTAGGTTTAGCACCGTCTGGTCGTCTTTCCTTACTATAATGGACCATGATGTACAATATAGTAAAAAAAGGTACAATGCAGACTTTCGTTTCTCGCAACTTCATCGTTCTTTTCATCGTCTTTTCCAGTCGTCCTGGAGAAGAAAAGAAAAATATGTAAGTGCATGTCGGAATACACTCGTACGCGCGTGGAAACACAAAACGGACGAAGAAAAAGGAAAACAAACTCATGCTTATGTAATAGCGTAGTAAAAGGATTTTTATAATATCGTTTTTTTTGTTTTTTCTTTTTTGAAATAAAAAAATAATAAAAATATATAAGCATTATAAATTTGGGTTTTTAAAAAAAATATATATATAGTACAGGGGAAAATCGAGATGGTATAAAATGTTAACTTGTCTTACGTGAAGTAATCGTTCAAATGTTCTGGAAATCTTACTCTTCTTCCAGAACGCGTTGTTTTGAGTTTATTTTCTGATACCGCCGAAGTATCAACGTGTGTGTTTGCTGTCGATTGAGGTATTATATGGGCGGGAGTTGTGTCGTGCGATTGTATTGAAGGAAAATCGATGTGAATAGGATTTCCTTCTAAATACGCTGCTTTGAGGCGATCGATACTGATGCTTTCGTTGGTTCCGTTCTTATCGATTATATAGTACTTAGATTCGCGTTGAAGAACTTTGAAAGGTCCTTCATATGTTGATTCAAGAGGTCGTCGATGCGAGTCTCGACGCACGAAAACGTGTGTACTATGTCGTAAGTCAGGTTGAACGAAAATATCCTTTGATTGTGGTCGAGTGGAAACAGGTTTAACTGAACGCATTGTGTTTGTAAGCCTCTTCGCGTGGGAGGTTAGATCCATGTTCATTGAAGAAGATGAAGGGTCTACGATTTTTCTCTGGGAAGTCCAGGTGTCGTAACATAAACGTGTTGAGCTGCAGTGTATCCAATGTCAGCTTTCACTGCATTGCGAATACCTAGTAAGACTAGTGGAGTAGCGTCAGTCCACTGAGAAATGTTTGCGGCTGATAGTGACGCTTTTAGTTGTCGGTGAAAGCGTTCCACCAACCCGTTTGCTTGTAGGTGGTGGGCAGTCGTTCGGAAGCGAGTGATTCCTAATATTGCGGTCAGACAACGGAAAACTTCAGATTCGAACTGGTGTCCACGATCTGTAGTGATGGTTGTTGGGCAGCCGAAGTTTGTTACCCATCGTTCGACGAAGGCGCGGACCACTGTTTCAGAAGTAATGTCTTTGATGGGTACTGCTTCTGGCCATCGAGTAAAACGGTCTACGCAGGTTAAGTGATAAGAATATCCATTCAAATCTGGTAAAGGTCCTACCAAATCCAAATGAACATGGTTGAAGCGAGCATCGGGAGTTTTAAATGAGCCTAGGGGACATTTGTTATGTCTACTAACCTTAGATTTCTGGCAGCTTACACAGGAGCGTGCCCACTCCCTCACGTCTTTATTCATACCAGGTCAGCAAAACCGTTCTGCTATAAGCTTCATGGTTGCACGAACACCTGGATGAGAAAGTCTGTGCAACGTATTGAAGACGTTGCGTCGATATTGTTTCGGCACGATTGGGCGATCCCTACCTGTAGATGTGTCACAAAGTAAGGTTTCGTTACCTGTTTCCATCTGTTTAATGCGCAGTTTAAGTGTTGTTGAGGCCAACTCGTGCTGAAGATCACTGTCTTCTTTTTGAAGTTGGGCGAGTTTTAAAAGGTCGATTCCTTGGGAACTGTTCAAGGAATTTATACGAGACAAGGCGTCTGCAACTACATTGTTTGCTCCAGAAATGTGTCGAATATCTGAAGTATACTGCGAAATTTAGTCCAGTTGTCGAGGCTCACGTGGTAAGTACTTGTCTGAAGATGAGCTTGAACAGAAAGTAAAAGGTTTATGGTCGGTAAAAATGGTGAATTCACGGCCTTTGATAAGGTGTTGAAAATGTCGGACAGCACAATACATAGCTAGGAGTTCCCTTCCGAATGTTCTGTACCTCGATTCAGTGTCTAGCAACCGTCTGGAGAAAAATGCCAAAGGTTGCCAGGAGTGGTAAACCCATTGTTGTAAGACTGCTCCGATTGCTGTGTCGGATGCGTCTACTGCGATGCTAATGGGCGCTTTAGGGTCCTGATGAGCAAGCATTGCTGCTCGGGCGATATGTTCCTTAAACGTGGAGAATGCTTTTCTTGTAGTGTCATCTAGATTAATGGATTTCGTATTTCCACGAAGTTGGTCGGTAGGAGGTTTCACAAGGGACGCGCATTTTGGTATGAACCGTCTATAAAAACATACCAGGCTGTTAAACGTGTGTAATTGATTGATAGTGGTCGGTTGTGGGTAATCCAGAATGGCCGCTACTTTCGTTCTAAGGGGTCGAATGCCATGCGCATCTATAGTGTGTCCTAAGAAGTCTAAGGATTCGGTTCCGATTTGGCATTTCTGAATGTTTACAGTAATGCCATGTTTTTGTAGTCGGTCGAAAACAAGGTCCAGATGCTGGAGATGGGATTCTCTCTCCGGACTTGCTATTAGGCAGTCATCAACATACGCATGTACGAAGTTGAGACCTCGAAAAACGTCATCTATGAACCTTTGGAAAGTCTGTGTGGCGTTTCTCAGACTGAAAGGCACTCGCGAAAATTCTTAGAGTCCGAAGGGCGTTATAAATGCGGTTTTTGGAATGTCGTCAGTGGCCATCGGAATTTATTTATACGCTTTAACCAAGTCTATTTTCGAAAAAAACAATTGTACCTTTCAAGGTACCTGCCAAATCGTGAATGTAGGGCAACGGGTAACGATTGGGAATGGTTTTTGCATTCAATCTCCGATAGTCACCAGTTGGACGCCAATCCTTGCTGACCTTTTTAGGGACCATGTACAACGGAGATGCCCATGGGCTATTTGACGGTCGTATGATTCCTAAGTTTATCATATGGTCGAATTCGTTTTTCTCCAACCTTAACTTTTCGGGGGCCAGTCGGCGTGCTTTAGAGAATACAGGTGGTCCTGTAGTCGTGATGTGATGTGTAACGTTGCTGGTTACACATGGCGATTTCGGTTGCGGTTGTTAAATGCCAGAATATTTATCGAGTAGTGGTTGGTAGAAGGGGTCTATAGTGTGCCTAATAGTGACTGCAGATAACCTGCAACCAGAAAAAAAGTCGGGCAAACAGATAACTTAGTGTTTCCGTCTACTAGCCTCCGTTTGCGCGTATCGATAATTAAGTTGTGGTGTTGTAGAAGGTCCATGCCAATGATTGGCATAGGAACATCCGCAACAACAAAGATCCAGTGAATGGGTTTGCGTAAACCCACGTTAAGATAAGCATGTAATAGACGGCTATGTTTGCCGGCTACGGTTGCCGTTAACCCGTCCCGGCTTGGAAGTTTCCCGAAACGTTCTTCGCGTCGACCGATTTCGCGTTGGGAAAATTGCAGGGTTTTCTGCAATTTCTGGCGGACTTTCTGTACTGGTTATGGTACCAGCACCAATCAGGATTATCCGTCTCTCGAGTTCTAGATGCAGATCGCCTACGTGATGTGCTTCTTCGCGGAGTAAGTGATCGCTTACGGTCGTTACAGAGTTTGAGATAACGCGTAAGTGTATGACATAACTGTGTTATGTCATTCTGGGTCGTTTGAGGCTTTTCTTTGACTGGAAAAACCTCGGCGTTAGAAGATCTAGTGATTTCGAGAATGCGGTCGGCAGATGCAGCTCGCTCGTCTACGGCGTTGTTTTGAAACGAGACCAAAACAGCTTGCACCTGTTGAGGAAGTTTGGATAAGAAAAGTTGTTTGAATAGGCCATCATCGAAGGTTCTTTGGCCATTGACTTCTCGCATTCTTTGCAACATGTCTGTGGCAGAACCGTGTTGCAGGTCGATATTGTTGAGGAGTTGGTCTAACCTTTGTCGATCGGTTAGATCTCCGCGTTTAAGGATGGCATGTTTCAGGGTTTGGTATGGATCATAAACATCACTAGTAAACATACTAGGTGTTACGTACCTGTTAAATTCGCGCGGCAGTGCCTTGACTACTGCGAGGAATTGTGTACGCGCATCGTTCACACCGTGCTCGAAGAAGTCGGCTTCTGCGTAACAAAACCAGGCTTCGATGTTGTCTGGCCAGAAAGGCATAAGTTGGAAAGAAGTTGGGGACACAGTCTTTAACTTAAATATTTAGGGGTCTATTCAGTCATAGTAATATATCAAGTACGAAAAGTGAACGAGTGGGAAAAAAATATATAAGCCCCAAAACACTGGAAAATATACCATAATGTTAAAAAAATAGATTAAAACAAGACAATGATATATAAAATCACAAAAAGGAACAGACTCACAGTTTACAATATGGTGTACCAGATCACGTCGGGCTCACCAATGAACATGCCACAGGTATTCGGAGTTTGACAACGCTTTAACCAGTAACACCTAATACGAAGCTCACCCACCAAGTAAAATCAAAAGACAGAAGTGAGGAGATCGAAGATATATTTGATAAGCTATCAATATATCGAGGATCGTTTGCACTAATCTGGCTAGCGATTGCGGCAGATGTTGAGCACGGCGTTCCCATACGTGATCTGGTGCGGATGCTTGACCGAGCGCCTTCAGCTAGATGAGTCCACTAAAACTGTGGTCAGCATCCAATGTCGAAAACTTACAGAGCTATTTATTTTGGGGATTTATTTACCGCTACAGCAGCTTCATTTCATTCGACAATTTGTGTGAAATATCTAATATCTTCATACTTAGTTAGTGAATGGACGCTGGATGCAAGAGGTACATCCTTGGTGAGGAATTAATTTTAAGATTTTATTTCATTTTACCTACTATTTTAATTCGGTGGGAAAGGATGCACCAGTGTCATATTCGCAGAAGACATGAAGAAATTTTTAGACCATTGAACTGAGGTCTCCATGAAAAAGCAGAGACCTACGTGCAGTAATTGTTTGTTTAGTGAACGAAAAAAAAATGATCAAAAGTGCTAGATATCAAAAGTTTATTGGACATACAATGTTCAATACGGGTCAATAGGTTACTGGACATTAACTTTGGATATAAATACTTTTCTGAGTGGCGTACGTAATTTGTATTTGGAATTGTAACGTGCAGTATAGCGATGCTGGGTTGGCTCTACGCTGTAGTATTGTTCACACTGTTCAGTTCTGAATTAATAGAGTGAAAATTTAAACCGCGAACAACCGATAAGGTATTTTACTTATAGCTGGAAATATTTTAGTAGGATTTGAGTAATTCACCACATACCATTGAAGGTGAACACAGTGCAGCATATGATCATGATGCATTTTTGGGAAGAGACGAGGCCAAGCGATTCGATGATCTAACACCAGAAGAAAGCAAACAAAAATTGGGGTATTTAACGTTTTTCTATATCCTTCATAAGAGCGTTTTACGCAAACTTGCTTATTTTATTGTTAATATCAGCGTCCTTTTTTTTTGATTTGGCATGTTTGCCAATCAGTCTCTTCTATCTGTTCCGGGTTATACTCATAAAATGAAAATGTTTTATAATCGAGATGTCCCATTTTCTGTGGACTAAACCAAAGCTATAAACAGTTGCTTATAGCTAAAACTTTTCTGATTTTCACCGAGTGACATTATTGATGTATATTATCATGTGATGAGATTTGGCCTTATACTAGACTGTGCTTCCGGTGTAGAAGTTTCGCGTCTAGTGTACAGCCATTACTAATCAGGCTTACTGGCTAAGTCATTTCGGTTGTTGGATCAAAACCGTTCCTGACTTACGCTTCATAGCAACCTTTCCAAACATATGGTTGGGTGCATTTTCTTGCTAGGCACTTAAAAGTCCGTTATGCTCAGGTACAATGGGTACTCCATTCTCAGTCTTCAAGAATTAAAAAAATGCACAAAACACAAAAATTTCTGATACCTACCAGCGTTCAACAGTCTTAAGTTTTTGAATGATATTACTTTTCAGTGAGATTGTGGACAAAATTGATTTAAATAATGATGGTCAAATCACGTCCGAAGAAATGACTGTATGGATTAACAAAGTATCCAGAAAAATGCTCCTTGATGATGTTGATCGCGCTTGGAAAGATTTTGAATTGCTAGACGAAGACAAGTTGTCTTGGGAGAAACATGTTGACGAGCTGTTTGGTGAAGACGGAGATTTAGAGGGTACGTTGACTTTTCATTTATTTTATACACCATAGTTATGTCGTCTACCACACATTATGTCAAGACTCATTTCTATCTTATAACAAAATTTCAATTGTATTTTCAGATGAAGATGATGAAACAAAGAAAGCCTATTCTGAAAAAGACAAGAGGCGTTGGATGGTTGCCGATGCAGATGGAGATGGAAAGCTATCAAAAATAGAATACTTATCATTCCTTCATCCAGAGCATGAACCAAAAATGCGAGATGTCGTTATAAAGGTTAGTCCTGTGACAAGCGATAAAAACAACTTGTATTTACTCCGCAATCATACACTTACTCAAAAATACCCTATATTCTTTTGCCAATAATTCCATAAGATTCAGGTTATATGGAGCAGTGTGTGCTCTGTGGATTATGGTAGTTCAATTTAGACCGTAATTAATGTTCCTTATTGGCCCAACAATCCGTGTTGAACCTATATGAGCCTGTTATACTTCATGAAGAAGTATAGACTTCCCAACCTGGATTTTCCATTAAACACAGTCCTAAATAATGCCACCAGTTACTATCCGTTCATTTGATATCTGCTTCTAATTTCTAACGCAACGTGTTCCTTGGTCTCCTTTCCTGTCCCCTTCACGATCCCGAGTTAGCGCTTAGTGCTCTGTCCACTTCCAACGTCGTTTTTTAATTTCCTCCGACTGGAAGCTGGTTCGTTCTCTGCTACAGTAGGTTGTTGTTAATGGCATCCGGCCAACGGAAATTGAGTATCTTGCGTAAAACTTTGTTTATAAATGGTCGTGATTTCTGATGATAGTTTTGGTAGTTTCTTAAGTTAAAGCTACCTACAATAGAACTATCCTGACTGTGACTTTGATATTGGCTTACATGCAGTTGTTTTGGGTTCCATATGTTCTACAATTGCAGGAATACTATCCTTCGCCAATACTTGCTTTTACATGTGCATCAGATCCTCCTTGTTTATCGATGATGGTGTCCTTATACGCGGAAGTTTCCACATCATCTGGGATGTTGTTATGTGTTGTATTTGAGGATCTTGCTATTTCCCTTGTGTATTTTGAGGCCTACTGATACAAAAACTGCTGCTACTCTGTATGTCTCGACTCGCATTTGTTGGTGTGTATGGGATAGAAGAGCTAGATTATCTGTGAAGTCCAAATCGTCTAGTTGCATTTAAGCTGTCCATTGTTTTCTATGCTTCACCCGAAATGTGGAGGTCTCTTCACAATCCGCCCGGCCACCAGAAGACAGAGAAGAGGCGAGAGTAAACAGCCTTGTCTGACACTGATCTTGATTTGAAACGAGTCTGTCAGCCGTCATCTATGCACGACTTTGCAGTAAAGTCGTATGAATTCTGTTTGATGTTGACGATTTTCCATGTTAGGTTCTTCCTTGTCTCATATAGTTGTTTGATATTTCTTTCTCTTGCAGCTTTTCTCTCTGTCATTACTAGACGTACGTATTTCTGCTTATTGGCTGTAATGCTACTCTTCACTCTCGTTGTTTCTGTGTATTTGGTTTGTGGAGTGATTTCCTCTGATCTTGTTCGGCTGTTGTCCATTGCTACCTTCTTGTTCTTCCTCTCTTAAATTTTGACCGACGTTTCGATCGAGATCCATTACTTATAATGATGCTTCTTACGGCCCAGAAACTCCTGACACGTTGAAGTTAGTGCTTCTCTGATCCTCTTCCAGTTGTTATCCATAGTAGTTTCCTCTTTCAGTGGACTTTGTAAGGCTTGAAACCCGTTTCTGAGAGCTATCTTGAATTCGTTGAGTTTGTCAGTATCTCGAAGAAAGACTATACAGGATTTGTTTAATGCTGAGTCTCCAGTTGTCCAGTGTTTCTTTAGCTTCAGTTCCTTGTTAGTCACAACCACGTGGTGGTGATTTGAAGGTATGTCAGCTTTTCTGCTGGTTCTCCCGTCTTCCACCAACCTTCTTGATGTTTAAGTGATGCAAATATGATCGATCTGATTCTCCGTAGTGTGATCCGGTGAGACTCACGTAACTATGTGTATGAATCTGTGTGGGAATATTGTGCCACTTTTAACAGTTTTGTTGAAGGCACATAGGTTTTATAATCCTTCATTTCTATCCCTTTCTCTCGGTCGCTTCTTATCGTCCCATGATATCTTCCTACTCGGTATTGTTTATTAGGACCTTGGCATTAAGGTCTCCAATCAGGACGATCAGGTCCTTTCTTGAGTACCTCTCTATGGCCGACTGCAGCCTCTCACAAAACTGATCTTAACCGTCTTAACTACTAACATAGGTGAGTCTATAGCACTGAACAACATTTATTGTGATCTGTTTTATCTTTGTTTTCGAATAAGGCTTGATTATTCTAGATCCATGAGATTTCCATTCTATAAGTGTTTTACGTGCTTCCTTTCACAGCATCAGTGCAACTCCCTGCGCGTAAAACGTCATAATTCTGAACGAAGATCCTTCAACTTGGAGGACTAAGTTTAAATGGTTTAAATTATTTATTCTGGTTAGCACTTTTTAGCAAGGTTTTTTTCTACGTGATGGAATTGCTGACCCCATGCCCAACCCTTCTCTTTTACCCGGGCTGGGAACTGGCAGTAACCCTAGAAGAGCTGTAGATGTTGCTAGGTTAAACATATCCATGTAATTTTGTAATCGGTAGTAGTCGAGATGATTATTCAATAACTGCTTGGGAAATGGTTTTTGTACTTTAATGAGAAGTTCCTCTGCACTTAGTCATAAACTAATGATTGCTTTTAGGACTCACACGTTAAAGTGATTTCCAGTCAAATATACTCATTTATCTGATCCGAATTAAACATCTGAATACTTATTATTGTCTAACACGAATAAATATAAAGTTTATCGTTAAAAAAGTAAGCACAACTGCTTCAGTTTCATCTATAATGTAAATAATTACCTCAAGTTACATTAAGTTTATAGACACTTTTTGGTCCAACTATTTTATTTGCTTTTAAAAACATAGGAAACAATGGAAGAAATTGACAAGAATAATGATAGCTTCGTTGATCTTGATGAATATATCAGTAAGTTTTCACTGTTGATGTATTTCTTCAGATTTTTATATCGGAAATATTTGGTCGTCAAAACTTTAATTGAATTGTTATTTTTAAACTGTATTTGTGGCTAAATTATTGTGAGCGTAACTTTTAAGGCAGACGGAATAAGCTAGTTAATTAGGTTGTAGACGTCCATTTATTTATGTGGTTATGTCATTTGCCAGGTATTCTAAATCAATAAGGCATTTATAAGTGAAGTACATACGTAGATTGCTAGTATCTGACCATAAGTACCCTTAAAACATATGAGAAAACCACTTGTTACCTAATAATATGCGTGCAGAGTGCTGAGATGAGATAGTGGATCCTCATCAACCGACGTGGTCGGGACTACTTACGTTCTACTTCCTCCCAGTTTGACACTCGATATTTCTTGATGTAACAAATTGAAACTATTCGATCAAATTCAGACGAAAGTTCTTACGTACTATCCACTGTTTATTCCCCGATTCTTAACTATTTTACTACCTATTTCGACTAATTGACAGACTAATATTGTGATCAGTCGATATTATCACGGGCTTTATCACTAAAAGGTTATTCGTTGGTAATAACGGAACAATTAGGTATTTCTACTATTAATCATCTTTAATACTGGAGTTTTATATGGGCGGGTGGTCAACTAAAATACTCGTTGAGTCTACGAATTGTCTCAGAAGGTGCTGAAACTAGTTGAGCACATAATGGGGCAAAAATTATACAAGGAACGAACTGAGCGAAGAAATTTATTTTCAATTAGTTTTTCATCATGGCTCTACACTAATATATATATATATATATATATATATATATATATATATATATATATATATATATATATATGATTTACAATAATGATATAATACTCATTAAGTGGGTACGTTACGTAATAATTACATAATGACATTTAAATTAACATCGAGTAGTTTGGAAGAAAGTTGATTATTAATACTCAAAGTAATTATTAAATCAAGAAGTTGCTATGTTGCATAATATATGAAAAAGAGAAGGAACAGAATTTGTAATGGACGATCAATAGAATAGTAGTTACGTAAGAATCAAGAGATGAATATTGAGGAATCATAAAGTTAAAAAAAACACAACAAAAACAAAATTAAAAATTAAAAAAACCCAGATGTGAGAAATATGGAAAATAGTTCTGTTGAATGGAATCTTATACCGATGGCCAAGGCAGCGAAAGTCGTTGAACAAATTTCTTTTGAATGCAAAGGTCAGGTTTGTGAACATGGATTGCCATGGCTTCCAAAGTGTGCAAAAGGCGCGTTCGTAAACCATGTGATAAATTTGATGGGATATGGTAGATAACCTTAAAAGCTTGTTCAATTCAACTTGGTGACCTGTGTCAACCAAATGAGCGAGAATAGAACTTTTAATCACTTTTACCTGTCCTTTATTTAACCACGATGGATGATCTGTAATACGGTGACAAACTTGTCGAATTGTACGCCCTATATAACTGGCTCCACAGGAGCAGTTGAACCGATAGATACACATAGATTTGGCGAATTCAGGCAGTCTTTTTTTATTGGTCGTTCTTATTTTGGGGTAGTTGTAGAAGATAGCATTCAGTTTGGTTGCATTAAATGTTTTTTGTACAGCTCTTCTTAGTTTCTGAGTCACAATCTGTTCAGTAGTATCATTTATGTATTGTAATTTTATGAATAGTACTTTCTTAGGGACCGTGGGTATCTTCGCCTTTGGTTTCATCTCCATCATGTGTTTGTCAATAGATTTCAAAGGGTACCCATTCGTACTAAGTATGTTCCGAATTTTAGCCAATTCTTCTTCAATGGTGTCTTCCGAGCAAATCCTTCTGGCACGATGGGTCAAGATCTTTATCAAGTTCCTTTTGTATCTGATTGGAACTGCACTGTAGAAATGAGTGTATTGTCCTGTTGCCGACTTTCTGTGTAACCCTCTTTTTAAAGTTCCATCTGTTCGTCTAGTTAGTTGAACATCTAAAAACGATATGCTATTGTTCTGTTCATCTTGATGTAAAATTAATAGATGGGTGGACGTTATTAAATGTATTAAGTAAATTGTCTTTATCATGTTCTTTTTCTAACACTATGAAAGTATCGTCTATGTAGCGATAATAAGTTGGTAAATGGCTAATAGTGTTTTTAAGTGGTCCATTTTCCAGTTTTGCAAGGAAAATGTCCGCCAGTAGAGGGCCCAATGGTGACCCCATGGCAACTCGATCTAGTTGTCTATAATATTCGTTGTCGAATCTGAATTGTACATTCATTGTGCATTTAAGAATTAACTGTTTTAATGCGGAAAATTATACAGTTGATTCCAAAAATGGGAATATTGAAGTCAAACTTAAATATCAAGTAAAATTAATCCTCTCACACTTGAGGACTTTGACCTTCAAGTATTATTTTTTTCATCCATCTAGCTACTGGTAAATTAGCTTGAAGAGTTAGTGAAGCTTTACGCTTCACCACCGATTATTTTTCTTGGTACTATAAGTATCGTTATTCCATGTTTATTGGGGATTTGTCTTGTAGAAGATCTGTGGTCTCCGAATTCACCTAATGAAACGGAGCCTGAATGGGTTAAAACTGAAAGAGAGGAATTCGCCAAACGACGCGATATTAATGGGGATGGAAAACTGGATCTGGATGAGGTTGGCAAATGGATTGTACCTGAAGATTATAATCATGTCCAAGCAGAAGTAACCCATTTATTCTCAGAATCAGATGCAGATCAGGTAGAGCTTATGTTGATTATTGTGTCTTCGTAAATTTGATCAGTGTCCTTATAATACTTGTCAGTTCGCCATTGTAGGTTTTTGTTGCTATTTTAATCAAGAGACTTAAAAGGTAAGATGGCTCTTAGTTGTTTTCCATGCTAATGATAACCTTGTATTATCCAACCAAAAAAGTAGTTGAATACTGAACTATGAAAATTTCCGGGACTAGAGAAGTATTTTCATTCGGATAAGATAAATAGCGTGTTATCATTTTGGAAAAGCCTCTTTTTGTACTAATGTCAACAATTCGTACAATTATGACCATTCCCGTCATTTACAATGGTTACCAAATATCATTTTGTGTATGGGATGCATATTGATCCAATTTGTTCTCGGTAGAAACGAATTTTGCCCCCAAACGCCCTGGTACGGCCGAGAGTGGGGAGAGTCCACTCTCCCTCTCGAAATGCTCTCACATGGCCATGCGTATATAGCCTCTGCCAGGGAAGTCCTAGTCACTGCCTTCTCGTGGCGGGGGTGTTGTTTACGAAAATGAGAGAACGAAAAGCGAATGTCCGGCGCTTTAACCGGATCCCAAACCAATGGTGCACATGGGCTCCAGTATCCTGAAGGAACAAATGGCGTATGAATCAATCGTTGGTCACCGGCTACCATGGGACTGCATCTCCTTACGATGCTCCACTGCCTTGTGGGTCAGACGTTCAGGTCGAAGGCTCGGGGTGTGGCCCCCTAAGAAAACTACCTGATTCGGTTTGGGCACCCAGGCAGTATCACAGCCCTCATACATATCAAATGAGATCTATGTGGCACATATGTATTTGGCACCTCTTTGTACCAATATCTGTGTTAAAATAAATAAATAAATAGAAACGAATTTTACTCGCTTTTATTTCGTCAAATATGTATCTCGTATTTTTTAAAATTTCTGTTAATACTATTTAGGATGGAAAACTCAGCAAAAACGAAATATTAAATCGTTACGACTTATTTGTTGGTAGTCAGGCAACCAATTTTGGGGAAATCCTAATTGGTCATGATGAACTATAACAATGTAAAATCTGTCAATGAAGTAATCCGACAACCGACTGTCTGTTAAATATCCTAAGGATGTTTTTCTTCTAAGTCTAACAAACTTTTTCTTGGTTCATAGTTTCCATCAGTTACTATACGTTATTACCTCTATCGCATATGTTCTTGTTAATCAACACTTAATCTTTCAAGTGTGTCAATAAAATTTGTTGGAGATCGTACATTTTACAAGTGCCTATTCTAGCGCTTATTTTATTTTTATCTTACAAACAATTTCGTCTATATTTTATTCTCTTGAGCTATTCGTTTATTTTATGTTTTATACTTTTTAATCGTTTATTTGTATATGAATCAAAATAGTTTATTTGCTAGCTTCATTTTTAGTGGATCTCTTTTGTGCGCATGCTTGTCATTAATATATTTTGTAATGTATAAAAATATATTGTTGCTTTACATATATTTATTTTTAATGTTTAAAAATATGACTGATTTGCTCATTGGTTAAAGAAATCTAAGTTTAGTGTTATTTTCTCGAGTATTAAAAACTGCTATTCGTAAGTAAATGCAAGTTTAGTCAGTCTTGTGTAAGCTTCAGTTACTTTCGAGATCATTTATAATTGTTAACTCTCATCCCACACTTGTATTTATTACTCCCATTCTTTTTGATTGGTGAATCACTCTTAAACTGTTATCTTTGGTCTACAACTAAAGGATTTCACAGACTAATTAACCTTTACTACCGCAGACAGACGGTCGTTGATTTGACTCCTTCCATATACCCTTATTTTCATAAAATACACGCATGTTATAATAAATAATGCATCACAGTTGACAGTAACTAATCATGCGTAAGACAGCTTCATCAACCGACTTTCTATCGCTACGTATTACCTTTCATCTGGGCACCCGGGCAGTATCACAGCCCTCACACAAATCAATTGAGATTCGTGTGGCGCATATGTACTTGGTGCCTCCCTGTACCTATACTTATGTGTTAAAATGAAATGAAATGAATCATCTGTCCTCCACATTACCCTCTTTTTAATTGTAGTATATGCGGGCTAGTTTCGTAGAAATAGTGAATTATCGGTGCATGGAACGTGGTCATGACCTAAATCTGAAGTCTTGGTACTTATTAAGTTTAGAACAACATATATAAGCGAACAATATTGTTTTCGATTGGATCCTCATCAGGCTTTACTCTAATATACAGTGATATTTATATGCATATACGAAATTATTAAACCAATCAAGGTAGTTTATAAATCAATGATAACAATGAATAAAACGATTACATAATATGTGAAAAGTACAAACAGATAGTGTGGTAACAGGTGTACTAGTTTTTATAAGAATAATAAAGGCTCAAATCAATGTTACACAATCGGAAATAGGTCAATGATTAGAAAAATATAGATAGTGAGTTAACATTTATAAAAAATTATTATAAGATGACAATGAGAAGTGTTCAGATAATTGAACCGTGAAAAAAATAAAATGGTAGGAGGGGGTGAAGAATTAATAAACGAAGAGAAGGTTTGAAAAGAAAATAATAAATTCATTTATTAAGGCCAAGTGAGAGATAAGGGTGTTACAAATTTCTTCTGAACACAACGACTCGGCTTGTTGGCTCGAATTCCTATAGCTTCTGCTATGTGTAAGAGACGAGATCGAACACCATAGGGAAAACTAGTGGGAATACAATAAATATTTTTAAATGACTTGTTTCTGTCCACTATCGATTAAGTGTGAAAGAACTGAGCTGCGTATTGTCTTTACGTAACCTTTTCCTAACCACGATGGGAGGTGTTCACTAACTCTGGTTCAGTTGCCTAGTAGCGCGCCCAATATAGCTTTCTCCACAGGAGCAGCTGAATTCGTAGATACACATAGAAGTGGCGTAACCAGGTAACTTGTCCTTCAGTTGGGGAATCACCATAGATCGGATCGAATACGATAGACAGAGGTTGGCAGCATTAAACGTTCTCTTGATTGCTCTAGTCACTCTATCACGCAATACATCACCATTGAATTGCAGCTTCAAGAAAAGAGGTTTCTTCTTAGCTGTTAGTGTCACTATCTTCTTGTTTGTTATTAAGTTGTCCAATGTATTAAGAAAAGAAAATTAAATCCGTCTAGTTCCTTTATATTTTGCCTGATTTAGAGTTAAGCTACTCATTAGTAGCTCACTATTTTTAAGACGAAACACGGTTTTGGTAAGACTGAAAATTATACCCTTTTTGAGATGCAAATTTCCTATCACCGGTATGATGAAATTCACTTGTATTCCGATTTCATATAAAGTTTTCATCGAACTATTTTTGGTTATGCGTTATTCAGATTGATTTTTAGGTTTGTAAATATGTATCAAAATGATTGGAAACGAATGCGGACTGAGATTGACTAAGGTAATAGTGAACCTTAGTTATCTGGTTATTTTAACCAGTGTAAGAACTGTCGTGTTTGATTTTTACCTAATATTCATATAATTGTGCTAACATATGTGGATAGAATCGAAAAATATGGGAACAGATGCTGTATTTTTCGCACATTATGACAATCCTTTCATTAAACGAGAAGACAAATTTAGAATTTATCTTAGACTGACAGTTTTTTGTCTTAATCGTTACATTGATATGGAAGGTACAATAAATACTATTTCGTTAGTCATTTTAGGTGGCCTCCTACCATTCTTTCTATATTTAAAAAGCTTCAAACTGTGGCTAATGGATACGAGATTTTAATTACTTCGAATAATATATATATTATTAATACCTATGAAAGTAACTGACATTTTAGTTTTGTTTTCGATTCTTAATTATTTAAATTGACTAGAAAGATTATTATTGTCTCTAAGAAAGGAACAGGAATTGGGGAGAGACATTAATTATGAATACAGTGGTCTTGAATGCTGTTAGAGGCAGCTGATTGACTTATTGTCGCTACTTTATCCTTTGTAAGAATAACAAGTACTTTCAAATTTGACTGACTGTTCACTGATAGAAACCGTTTTATCATATAGAATGTTATGATAAGAAATTAATCAGCTGTTTGATGTTATGTTGCCTCGCGAATCGTAAGTAGGTAGTTTAACTTATAGCCGTAGTGAACAATGAGCTGATGTTTAATATCCTAAGTAGTCAGTTACAACGTAGGATCAGCACATACATCCATCGGTCCAAGTTGCCACACTTCATTAGCACAGCAAGACGAACATCGGATTCATAGAAGCAGTTCACTCGATAGTGTAATATATAAAGGAAAGATCTTATGTAAGGATATAGTACAGAAAGGAAGAATTACTTCGTAGAAAGAAAGTTTCGAAGTGATTTTAATCTCTTAGTTTAAGGGAAGACAGAGAGTGTACACACCGACGCCTTTGTGATTGATTCTGAACCATTTCACACAGAGTTTTCCAATCATTGGTTACGATAGTCACGCGGACCCCAACCAGGCAGTCTGCATCTAACAACATGGCTCGGACCAGAAATTAATGTCTTCAAGCACTGATGCCACGTTTTGGTTTGGCCACCCCTACCTTTCTTCCAACCATCCCCAACACCGGTTAGCATTGCACGTCGTGGTAATCGGTGTTCAGGCACTCGTAACACGTGGCCCAAACATCTCAGTCGATGAAGATTCACAACCTCATCAAGTGATTTACCATCATTCCCTAATACCCTGTATCTTACCACACTATTACTTACTCGGTGATCCCAGTAGATGCCAGCAATGTTTCTAAGACATCTGTGGTCAAATACTAGTAACTTACGAATATCTTCCACTCTTAATGGACACGTTTCGCAGCCATAAAGTAGAATAGAACGAACTGCCGCGCAGTATACTCGTCCCTTGATTGATAGACGGATATCTCGCCTTCGCCATAGGTGACGTAAGTTGGCGAAAGCCAAACGAGCTTTTCTAGTGCGTGCTGAGATTTCGTCAGACACCAATCCATAAGGGCTGATCAGACTTCCAAGATAAGTGAAGTTGTCAACGCGTTCGACTACTTCACTCCCTATCCTTAGTTCAGATGTTGACGCAGATCAGTCCTGAAGCAACAACTTAGACCTAGAAGAAATCCATTGGTTCTTTGTAACCCTTTGATTTAAATCACTAAAGATGTCCCTAGTAAGTCTAGGTGAAAACACTGACATAAATTCCGAAAGCTTTCTAGTAAGTCCTAAGTGTATCCAGAGATGTTTACTGGATTCTGCTACTAACGGAGAAGGAAAATTCTGGAACCACGGTTTATGTAGAAAAATAAAACATAATCGTCTATTTTTCCACTGAATTTTCTTGAAGATAAAACCATTCTAATCTACCTAGACACTATACACAGCACGTATGAATGTGCTGTCCATACTGGTTGTCCACCGAGCAGTAACCAATGTCATTTTTATTCATGACGTTCAACAAATCCTATCTATCATGTTGTAGTGTAGCTGAAAACATCCAAGTGAGTTGTTTCGACGCTAGCTGGTTGGATGCAGTTGAATGATATTCTTGGGTTTATGTCCCGACCGTTGCTGCTACCTTGACCTGGTGGTCGGGTTTGTCTATCGTGATGAACCAGTCGAGTTACACTGGCTGGACAGACAGGTCGGTTTAAGAGCTTAAGACTAAAGGCAGAAAACCCAAGGTCCGAGGGCAAAGTCGTACTGCTAACTGCACAGAGATGTGTCGGCAGTAAGGTGTTTCTTTCAAACGACCGGCATAACAGAGATGCTGCCTTCCAACAAAAAAGGGTGGGGCTAGAAAATGTCGACCCTAGAAATGCACACCTTGCCATGTCCCACGGGTTTCCACCTTCAGCGGTAAGAGCCCAAGGAGTATGGGGCTAACACAAAAATTACAAAAGGTTTGTTTTTGACCAACCTCAAGCAGTTGTCTATTGGGCACTGCGGTCACGCTCTCAGGTCACGAAGACCACCTCTAACCCAATTTCATTTTCACGTACCTCTAGAAGAATCCTTTCACAATGTGGGCAACCGGGAAGTAATGACCGCCATCATACCTCTAACAGCACTCAAGACCACTGTATTCATAATCAACCTCCCACATTGCTTCCTATTTTTCCTCGAATATATATATATATATATATATATATATATATATATATATATTGCAAAGAAGTAAACCTACATTTCATTTTTGTAAAATATTGGACTGAATAAAAAAACTTTCTGAACTATTATTTAAATACCAAGTGTACTAAAAACTTGTGACTAAAAGCTCTATCGTGACAAACCTATCATGATGCGTATATAACAACAGGGACTGATCAGTTTCAGCGCCAAATATCAACAACGAGAAGACATAAACTTTTACTAATACCATCTTACCCAAAGACGTTGGTGATCATCTAGTCTCAGTGGTTTATATGATAATATGTTATTTGAAGCGAAAGTTATTGGGTTTGAATAACAGTGTGAACTTCAACTCTCTAACGTAG